GTGCTGCTTCTCTGCTCAAAGTCCTGTGTGTGAGTTATTTTCGCCAAGGCTAGCTGCTGTAGGCACCTCAAAAATCTCACTGGCTTCCTGGGATAAACGCTTGCACTTGCTCCTGTAGGAACCAGTGTGGTGGTTCCTGGTTGGGCAGGTGTCCTGAACCCTCCCCTCCGGGCAGTGAACTTGGCATCCAGCTCCTCTGGCCTTTGCCTTCCTGGGGCCCTGAGCTTGCAACTGTGCTTTCAGTGGTTCCCATTTCACCGAGTGTAAAAGCCAAGCTCCATAGAGGGACCATGAAGCCCAGTGGGATGCAGCCACCCCTTACCTCTCCGGCCTCTTCTTCCACTACTCATTTCCTCACTTGCTCACTCTGCTCCAACAATACTGGCCTCCTCACTTGTCTTCGAACATATCAAATATGTTCCCACCTCAGGGCCTTGACTCACTCAAGCCTTGTGCCTGAGTCATCGCCCATCACATACCTGCCTACATCCCGCACTCTGGCAAGTCATTGCTGAAATTTCACCTTCTCGAGGACCCTGAAGTTTGCAACCCTATTAATGTTGCAATTCTCTCCCCAGCCCCGTCACAGCACTCCAATCCCCCTCACTCTTCCCTTCTTCTCTTTGCACTTATCACCTTCAAATATATTATGATAATTTACTTACTCATTCCATTTCTTGATTTCCCCTCCCCCTACCTAGAATGTAACCTCCATATCGGCAAGAATCTTTGTCTCTTTTGTTCATTAAATAGTGTGTGGCACAGAAGGAACTTAATACATATTTACCCAATAAAAATTGTTGAATGAATGACATGAGCATCAGAATGGTTATCTGGCCTAGATGGGCCTGAAATGAAGGTAGTAAAACTATAGCTACTATTAAAATATGAGATTCTGGAAGCCCATGCCACAGCACACAGTGATAAAATGGTGATTGAATAGGTGTTTTTGGTTGTTTTGTTTTGTTTTGGGTGGTTTTTTTTTTTTTACTAGTTTCTTTTAACTGTAGTGGAGAGCTTAAAGAAAGAGTAGTATAATCAATAGGTGGGCACAGCACCAGCAAGATCCTGATTCAGTTTTAAGTAACAGGAAAAAAATCTCCCTTTCTTAACAGAAGGGAATTTGAGACAGACCATTAGCTGCTTATAAAATTACTGGAGGCCCAGTGCACAAAAGTCTTGCACAGGTAAGACTTACCCTAGGCCTGGCCAGTGATCAGAGCTGATCTATGGGGCAACCTGTGGGGCGATGGGGGGCGGGGGGATGCTGGCTGGCCTAGGGCCTGCGGGCTGGGGGAAGCTCCTGCATTGAGCATCTGCCCCCTTGTGGTCAGTGTGCATCATAGCAACTAGTCATTAGGCCGTTAGGTTGATTTGCATATTAGGCTTTATTATATAGGAATAGGAGCCTAGAGGAGCAAACACGAGATTGAGCCTCAAAATGACTCTCGGATTAACACCATAGAACCCATCCCAAGAGAATGCCTGGTCTGCCACAATGAGAAAGCTTAGGACTCAGGAAGGCACTACCAGATCTGTTGGCCGCAGGACTGTATAGCAACTGGTATATCTATAGCAACACAAACATTTTCCCCCTCCCGACATCTCCCCACTCCCCTCACTACTCATGTCCCACAGGAGTGCATCTAATTGGAAAAACCTAAATTGCACCTAGAGCCGTAGATGTAAGGTGAGTCTGGAAAAGATCGGTTGAAGATGATCAGCCTTTAGCGTTCAGAAAAGCTCACTAGAAGGATACGGGAACTGATATGAGCAAGGGGTCACATGACCCACCCAGGACTTTGAGGGGCAGCTCCTCCTGCCTCCACTAGTCTGTTCTATGGAGTCACTTTCCTGGGTTGTAGATCTGGGGTGAGGGTGGGAAGCAGTTTTGCCATTGTCAGAGTGGCTGGCCCAGGTCTTATTTGTGTGCTGATGGTAATTAGTATGCCCTAGCCAGTTTGGCTCAGTGGATAGAGCATCAGCCTGCAGACTGAAGGGTCCTGGGCCCTGTGGATGACAGCACTGGTCAGCAGCAGACCCAAAGTGGACTCCACTTCTCCCATTGGGGCATGGTGGGGGGTAGTGGACTCCATGTGGGGCTCTGGGAGAGCTGCCAGGCCTGCTTTTCCCCTCTGGGTCTCAGCCATACAAGGTGGGACCCACCTGGAAGCCCACTGCTTGACTGCCTTGCCTCTCAGTTCTGAGCCCAGGTTAGCCAGGCGGCCTCCAGGCACCATCTTTACCATCCAGCAATCCCACTCTCTCTGTACTCCCTCTAGACAGTGATGGTGAACCTTTTGAGCTCGGCATGTCAGCATTTTGAAAAACCCTCACTTAACTCTGGTGCCGTGTCACATATAGAAATTTTTTGATATTTGCAACCATAGTAAAACAAAGACTTAAATTTTTGATATTTATTTTACATATTTAAATGCCATTTAACAAAGAAAAATCAACCAAAAAAATGAATTCATGTGTCATAGGTTTGCCATCACTGCTCTAGACAGCGATGGCAGTCCTTCGGAGGAGGAGAAGCTCACCCACCACACCGAAGTCTCAGAAATCTCACGTCACTATATTCCCCTAAACCAGGTTTTCCTTGAGGGTAGAAACTTCACTCTGGCTCCACCTCTGCAGCAGAGTGATGTCCGGGGATGGTTGTGTAGTGCAGAGCATCCTAGACTCATCCTCACTATGAACGCTGACATTTTGCTCTCTGTCTAGGCCCGTGGTCGGCAAACTGTGGCTCGTGAGCCACATGCGGCTCTTTGGCCCCTTGAGTGTGGCTCTTCCTAAGCCTTAGGAGCACCCTAATTAAGTTAATAACAATGTACCTACCTATATAGTTTAAGTTTAAAAAATGTGGCTCGCAAAAGAAATTTCAGTCGTCGTACTGTTGATATTTGGCGCTGTTGACTAATGAGTTTGCCGGCCACTGGTCTAGGCCCATGAGGCCTCCCCCATGTGGACTACTCCCCAGATGCCATGCTACCCTTGAGCCTGATGCCCAGCTGGGCAAGCTGGTCCCCATGGTCCAGCATCCCTGGGGAGTCACTCAGCTCCTCCCCCAGGGTCTTATCACTTCTTGGTTCACAAAACCAACCCTTGGCACTCTCTGAGGGAGCTCCTTCAAGCCTCCCTCCTCCTTGATTATCCCTCCGTACATCCAAAACTCTAGTCATGCACCCTGGAGTGGCCCACCCTCACCCAGAGGGCACCCAGATCAACCCTTCTGAGTGCCAAAACTCGGGTGACAAGATATCCAGGAGTTAAAGGGACACAAAGCAGGCCTCTCTTCCCTGGAGTGAAGATGGGGTCGCCAATCTCACTTCATTCCTTTTCCTAATAACTCGCCCCCTTGGGTTACCATTTAAAGAGCACCGACTATGTGCCGACCACAGTGCTAAAATCGTCGCCTGCATGAGCTCATCTAATCCTTCGTCGGCCTTATAGACTGAGGGTTTTATTCCCCATTTTTCAAAAGAGGATTTTGCCCAAACTCCTCTAGGCTAGTCAGTGTAGGAGCCAGGACTCCAACCCAGGTGTCTGATTCCAAAACTCGGGCTTTTAGCCACTTTGCCCTCAAAGACTACATCTTTCTTTCTTTTTTTAAAATTAATCCTCACCTGAGGATATTTTTCCATTAATTTTTAGAAAGATTGGTCAGAAGGGAAGGTGGGAGGAGAGAAAGAGAGAGGGGGAGAGAGAGGAAGTGGGGGGGGGGGGGAGAACATCAGTGTGAGAGAGATACATCGATTGGTTGTATCCCTAGCTGGGGGTAGAATTTGCAACGCAGGGAGTACTTGGAATCGAACCTGTGACCCTTCAGTGAACTGGCCAATGTTCTAACCACTGAGACCCACCAGCCAGGGCTACATCCCACCCTTGGCTCTCCCTGGAAGCCTCACTCATGCCACTCCTTCCTAGCTCAGGGCAGTGAGCCCTACCCACCTCTGGAATCTCCACTATGCACTCAGTTCTTCCCCTCCCCCATCCTTTCTTCAGCCTCCAAAAGAGAAGACACTCCCACCAGGGGAGGCTTCCGTAACCCTGGCTCTGGAGGTGTATTTACTCCTTGGATTCCCATATCAACACCAAGAAACAAAGCGCATGCTGCCTGGATAAGTGGGGAAACTGAGGCTCTCCAAGATCACAGAGCTCATGCAGAACCGAGCCAGAGTTAGAAACCAGTTAGTCTGTTCCCAGCGCCTCTAAAAGGGGCCTTTTCATGGACAGAGAGTCACCAAGCACCAGAGGGAACGGACCTGGAATTGCTCACACAGCGGCGCCTGGAGCTTGCACTGTGCCAGGCGCTGTGTTAGGGGCCTCACAGGCCTTCCTCCCGAAAAGCCTCACCACAAGCCCACACGGAAGGCGCTGCCCTTATGCTCACTTTTCATACGTAGAAACTGACACTTGGCGATGATAACCAACTTGCTCTATGTCAACTAAGGTCAGGATTCAGGCCCAGCTCTGGAGGCAAGAGCAGGTGGATGGAGAGAAACAAAGTTCTCAGGAAAGCATATAGTTCTTATTAGATTCACAGACTTCCACTGAAGAGCTTTAGGAACCCCCGAACCTCATGAATTGTATGCAAATGTGTGTATGCTTATTGAGGTGGGGGAGGGTGAAAAGAGAAGATCTATAGTTTCAATATATTCTCAAAGAACTCCCTAACGGCAATGCCTAGCACAGTGCCTGACACACCAAAGATACTCAATAGTACCTGGAGGATGAATGAACAAACGAATGAATGAGTGACTGAACGAATGTGTGTGCCTCCATGTCCTAGGAGACACCACACATGACCCGGTGCACATTTCCATCTGTATCTCTGGAGATGGTGAAAGCCATGCCGGGACCTGAGCCCAATTCTCTCCCAGGCCCTTTCTCCCAGCCCCAGAGGCTATAGCCAGGTGCTAGGACGAGCTCCAAAGAGATGCTTCCCCCGCTTTCTCCCACCTCCACTACTGACAATGACCAGGCAGAGGCGGGAGTTGTGCAACTCAGATAACAAAGCTTTATTGAATGCCAGGAAGGGGCAAGGGTGAGGCAGGGCTCAGGTGTGAAGTGCTTATGTGTGGGGAGTGGTGTTTCAGGAGAGGGGATCCCCCAGTCAGATCTGTGTCCACACAGCAGGGGAGGGCGGGGGGCGTGCTTCCTAGGCCTGAGCAATGCTGAGCAGCCTTAGTTCTTGGTGCGAAGGACCTGCTCGTGGGTGGACACCACCTTGCCATCGTGCACGTCCACGACCTTGGTGCGGATCTGGCGACTGGAGGAGGACACTGGGGAAAGGGTAGAGAAGGCGTTAGCGGCAGTGAATAGGCAATGAAGCAATCGGAAGTGGGGAGGCCAAGGAGTTGAGAGGAATCAAATGAGCTGCCTCTCTGCTGTCCTGCCTCCTATTCTCTCTTCCTTCACTGCTCCTGAACTAGCACTGATACGATCAGCACATTTTATTTTTCAGATTAGGGCTTCCAAAGGTTGGGAGTAGAGTCTGTGTCCTCAGACCGGAGCCTCCTAAGAACTCAGATGGGACTGGTTCCGTCCAGATTGACCCAAATAGACACAGATTGGCCCAGGACAGACAGAGCCCTGTAGGGCCCTGTCCATGGTGCTGACCCCTAGGACCATGTGGTCTGCCATAGACACTGGGTCACAAAAGTAAAACGTGGAAGCCACCAGCTCTCAGCTCTATGGAGGATTTAGATAATGGCTTATAAGGGATACTTGGTGAGAAAACTCTAGCTCACCTCTCACCCCTATAAGAAGCCCATATCCAACATCTTAGGCCTACTGGGAGACCAGGGCTGGTCCTGAGGCTTGATGAGGGGTAAAGTCTTACCATCTCTGGATGAATGAGAGCCAGAGGAGAACTGGGAGGAGGAGAGGCTGTGAAGACAGAAAGGGGCAAGATCATTAAATACATTGGGGGTGCAGTGAGTGAATCATGAAGGGATGGATCAGGAGGGAGGACAGGGCACTCACTGGGCGTCCTCTCCCTCCAGCAGGCGGCGGTAGGTGGCGATCTCCTGCTCCAGCCGGGTCTTCACGTCCAGCAGGATCTTGTACTCCTGGTTCTGCTGCTCCATCTCACAGCGCAGCTGGGCCAGCTGCTCCTCCACGCTGCCGATCATCTCCTGGATCTGGGACAGCTGCATTCTGCACGGTGCGGCGGAGCTCGGAGATCTCGCTCTTGCTGCTCTGCACCAGCTCGCTGTTGGTGGCCAATCACCCTGGACGTTCCTGGGAGCGAGGTATCCTGGGTCCCCTGCACCCGAATGGCACCCACCTTGGTGAAGAACCACTCCTCGGCTTCCTTGCGGTTCTTCTCCGCGATCTTCTCGTACTGGTCGCGCATCTCGTTCAGGATGCGGCTCAGGTCCACGCCGGGGGCGGCGTCCATCTCCACGTTGACATCCCCGCCCACCTGGCCTCGCATGGAGTTCATCTCCTGCGCAACAAAAGAACAGTCCACAGTGGGAGCCTCCCTCTGGCAGCCGGTTGGGGTTCCCCAGTCAGAGGTGTTCCTGGCCTCCACCTTCTCGATTCCATCTCTCCCCCCTCCCCGCTAATCTTCTAAGCTGGCTTTTCCACTGAGCTCTCACCTCCTCGTGGTTCTTCCGCAGGTAGGCCAGCTCCTCCTTCAGGCTCTCGATCTGCATCTCCAGGTCGGCCCTGGCCAGGGTCAGCTCGTCCAGCACCCGGCGCAGACCGTTAGTGTCGGCCTCCACGCTCATACGCAGATTCAGCTCCGTCTCGTACCTGGAATGACCGGAGAGAAAAGGAATGAGACCGCGTGGCTATCCTGACCACACGGAAGGCTCTGTTCTCTTCCTCCCGCAGCTTCTTCCCAGAGTTGGCCCCCTGTGGGTGGTTTAGGGTGCCAATCTCAAAATTGGCATGGTTGGACACAGTACCCATTGATTGCTCAGGTGCTCATTCCTGGGGTGGGGTGACAGGGAATAGGGCAGTTTCTCCTGGTACAGAATTCAGGGAAGGGAGATAGTTCCAGCTTCAGTCAACGATAGCACACAAGACCTCCAAATAGGACTGCCTCCTAAACTTCAGGGGCACGTGGGGAAGTGGGGAGTGCCCCTCCATAAAACTGACTCCCAAACCTGGCTGTGGGTCGGAATCACCCAGGCAGCCTGTTAAAATAACTGAATCAGAACTCCAAGGGTGGGGCCCCCAAACCTTCTCTTTTTATGAGCACCCTAATGGGTTCTCACATGGCCAGCCTGGCGCTCATCAGCTCTGTTCAGGCAACACTGCTCCACAAATGCCCCACCCTGGGAGACTGGCCATTCTGGGCCACCGCTGCCAACTCACTTGGTGCGGAAGTCATCCGCAGCCAGGCGGGCATTGTCAATCTGCAGGAGGACATTGGCATTGTCCACGGTGGCCGTGAGGATCTGCAAGGGAAGGGGCACAGGTCATTGGTCAAATGGACATCACTAGCCAGGCTTCACTGCAGCTAGCATCTGGCCTTGGCTTTCATGCTCTTGCCAGAGTCCCCACCTCCTCCCACAAGCCTGCGCCACAGCAGCCTAAAGGGTAACCTCTGGGAGTCCAGCTTTGACCCAGGGCTTTGCTGACTCATGGTCAGCAGAGGGTGTGGAAAGTGCCCTGGCCTTCGAATCAAAAGCTCTTGAGTTCTGATCCTGGTTTTACCACTGACGTGTTGCCAAACCTGAACCGGTTCTCAGGGCTTCCAGTTCCCTTCCTACAGGTGAGACCCAGTTCTCAATCTGAATTCTCTCTGCAAAGTCAGCCCTGCCAGACCCTGCGGGCACACACATTCCTTTCCCAGCTCACAGAGCAAGGGACTGCAGGGAGCGCACGGAGAATCAGAAAAGAGGAAGCAGAAGACAAAGATCAGTTGAATCCTGGGTTGGCTGGAGTTCCCTCCCTTTGTTGCCTAATCCACGAAAGGCATCAGCAAGACACCAAGGGAAGCAGGGTCC